GAATTGAAAGCTTATGGTTTTCCCTAAATAGTTTGATTGATTATCTTTGGGAGTGCACTGGTATTCATTTTTATGGAAGAATCATTTCTGCTCCTGAATTCTACTAAGCAAAAAGATTAAAAAAACCACATATGCAACATATGCAATGTGTTCTCACATGAATGAGGAATTCTAATCTGAGAACGATATACTTGTTGTTAGTTCATGTAATTCAGTTCTTGTTTATCTGTATCATTAACAGACCATGAATGAGTTTGAATACCTTAAACTACTGGGAAAAGGCACTTTTGGAAAGGTCATTTTAGTTAAAGAAAAAGCAACCGGACGGTATTATGCTATGAAAATTCTGAAGAAGGAAGTTATTGTAGCAAAGGTGAGTAGATGGGAAACTTGGGAACGTGGTTCACCCTCGATACAGCCTTCAGGAAAGTCATACCAAGGATTCTCTGAGTACTTGCAAATAATTGCTCCGTTAGTGTTTGAAATGGACCCCTGATCTGGGGAATCACTTTGCTGATTTCCTTCTGCTTGTGTTTCAGGATGAAGTAGCGCACACGCTGACAGAAAACCGTGTTTTACAGAACTCGCGGCATCCATTCTTAACAGTAAGCATTTCTCCCTCTGCTAAGTGTAACTTGACATCATGAAAACCAAGACTTCCCTTATTTTTTGTTATTTATATAATACATCCGAGATCTCTGGTTTTGGAGTGGCTTATATTTTTGTACCCTTCCTTTTTTGGGAAGCACAAATTAAAATGCTTTTTTAAGTCTTCTGATTCTTGTAGAGCAGGTCCTCAGTACCTCTTGAAGACAGTGTTTCAGGGTGTGGTTTGACTTTATGGCTCACCCATTTAATGGCTTGCTGTCTCTGAGAGAAGTATCTGCTTTCCTTGTCCTCCAAATGCTTGGTCTCCTCTTTGTAGCAGAGATCAGGGTGACCCCGATCTTGTGACAAACAAGTTCAGGAAGACATAGTGGGGGAAAAACCCTGTAGTTTTGCCTGCCTTTGTTGTTTTTTTTAAGCTCCCAGAAGCAGCTTACTATGGAATCAGAGCACTGGTAATGCCAGCCAACGGGTAGTGGTGGGAGCATGTGGGATGGGACAGGGAAGAGCAGGACCGTGCTTTATCCTCTGCTTTCCCTTTGGATTGGCTTAGTTGTAAAATCAAACCATACTCTCAGTTTAGACCTCCAATGCCAGCAGTCTCTTGGTTGAGTTCAGATACCTAAATTCCACCTCAAGTTTTTGTTTCTAGTATTTATTACAAGTTGAGTCTCAATTGTTTCCAACCACTTAAGCCCCGTAAGAGACCTGTGTAGGATTCCAGTTGTTTCCTTTGTCCAGGTACACAAAGCCTTAACTGGAACTTAGATTTTTAAGCGTGGCCTCTGGAAGTAAATATTGGCTGTATCGGGTATAATCAGTAAATGTTTGTTGACATGTCTAAAACCCGATCCTCCCTCTCTCTGCAAAAATATGACTGGTTTAAAAATGCCACTCCTAGTAATGAAGTCGATGATATCATATGCGATATTTTCTTTTTAATGCTTTCATAAACCCGGATATCTAAAACAAGGGCTGTCTTGAGAAGTCAGCTACAAGACTGGGTTACAACCAAGAAACCTAGGACTGTGGCAAACAAGTTGATGTTACTCTTGCCACAGGAATACACGTGACAGGACTGTACAAAGGCACCTTGTGACGCTTCATCACACCCTCTGCCTGGTCTGTTTTTGTGAATTGCTCACAAATTGATATTGGCAGCATTGCTCAGTCCTCTGGCAGGCTGTCAACAGGGAGCAGTTGCAGGCAGCAGGGCAGAGACCAGGGGGCTGGTGCGTGTAAATATATGTTTCATACAAGAGGTCTCGTAGGCAGTGCGGTAAAACCTTGGGCTCTGGGGTCTGGTTGTGGCCTCTTGTCTGAGAGATGAAACTGTGGGAGCTTGTGGCCTGGCGAGGAAACTTCAGAGCCACTGTTGGTACGTTTTGTATCACTGTTAATGGGCCAGGACTTTGTTTCACAGCATTATAGGCATTACCGATAGCTTCTGCAAGGGATGGTTTTAATGCTTTATTAAATTTATTTAATGAAATAAGTTGGCGGTGGATCAGTCCTCAGCTGCAACAGGGAAGTGTAAGTATTATATAAGATCCAGGGACAAAAAGTTCACTAAAATAGAAAATTTCATGTCTGTCTATGTTTTTGAAAATTTCTTAAAAATGCTTTTATAACTGTCGGTGTGATCCGTCTTCTAAAGTTTTGGTTTAAATCTGTTTCAGGCTTTAAAGTATTCCTTTCAGACACATGATCGCTTGTGTTTTGTTATGGAGTATGCTAACGGAGGGGAGGTAAGGGAAATGTAGTAATGTTTAATACTTTAGGATTTTCCTGTACTACTGCTAATTCTGCTTGACATTATTTAGCTAAGGACCATGTTTGCAATACTAATTAATGCAGCTTGTCCCAGTTAAACAGAGCTGTTCGCAGGTTTAACTAATATTAAGAATTAAGACTCTTAATTTTCTTAGCTCCATTTTTAGAGAATAGGGGGTTTGGGTGTAGGTTCATATTTTACATGACAGCAACATATTGTAATCTGACATTTAGTAATTCAAGAAGGCAAGGTTGCTTTCTAGTTGCTCTTCAGACAACTTTTAACACTTTTTAATTAATACAGTGAGCACGCGTTACTTTGGAGGGAGAACTAGAAACAGCAGACTACTGTTAGACAGTCAAGAAGGAAAAGTGGGAGTATTAACATGTCTCTAAATCATGCATTAAGCTGTAGTTTTAATATGTAATTGTAGTTCAGTCAAAATGGGTTTTTATAATTTTCTGTACATACAAGAATGTGCAGCACACAAACTGGTTATCAGTGTGCATCTGTGAATATGAGATATAATTGTCTAGTCATCTAATTTATGGTGCTTTTTAACACATTTGGGAATACAGCTGGGTGAGGATGGGAAGGGGTTTTCTCTTAGGTAATACCACATTCCAAGCAGAATGGCTTGAGAAGTGTGAGAAACATGTGCAATCTAAAGGTAACAAATTATTGTTCTTGTAGTTGTTTTTCCATCTGTCAAGAGAGCGTGTCTTTTCTGAAGACCGGGCTCGGTTTTATGGAGCTGAGATTGTTTCAGCACTGGATTACCTGCATTCAGAGAAGAACGTGGTTTATAGAGATTTGAAGGTATGTAGAAAAATAATTCCGTAGGCTTTTTGGTTTTGGGCTTTTTGTTTGTTAGTCACAAAAGCAAATGAGCCTGAACCATAAGAAAGCCTTTCCTGACTGAACTTTAACATAACAGTTATTGCAGCTGTTGGACTTGACTTTACAGGATGTCTAAACACTTTTATAGTCTAAGAGGTTGTATAGTGCATTTATCAGGACCTTGGCAGCGTTTCAGAGAATATGAAGGGGTACTGAGCTACTTGGGTTGCATTTTCACTTGCCTGCTTATGTTCTAAGAGAAACCTTGCTGGCTCTTCTGCGTGGTGGAACATAATCGTGGGCTCTTCATCCCAGGTCTTATCAGATAGATGCAAATTCATACTGTGTGATGTTCTGCTTCCTTGCAATGTGCTGCACAGCACTATCTTCATAGTACCTGCTTGCAGTTAGAAAATTGGATAAGCTTCAAGTTGCTTATTTGTTTGGTGAGCAGAGAAGGGAGGAAAAAAACCCCAATCAAATAAGAAATCTCAGGGCAAACTAACTTGGGAAATTCTTGAAGAAAATGCAAGAATAGCTTCCGCTCCCCCCTCCCGAAGTGTTTTCAGGAGAGGATGAGGGGATACTGGTAGTTGATTTAGGAGCAATGAAATAAAATGAAGCATGCTATCTAATGTTTTCAGGCTACATCAAAGTCATTTTGGGATCTCTGCTGGATTTTGTCTCCCATGTCACCATCATTCCTTTGAAAGTGCACTTTATTTCATAAACAGTGGAAACTCTATCCTGAAGTCTGGATGGCTTTCTCAAAAATTAGTGGCACAGGCTAGGATGAATACCACGTGCTGAGTAAATGTATAAAGTGATTTTCATGTAAAGGGTCTCTTTGGAAGTGGTTCCTTAGCCTTGCATTTGATTTTTGTTTCATTTGCTATCCTTTACTGGTACAGAATATTTCATAAAATCACTTAGAGTAAAAGCAGGGATGAAGTTGTGTGAGGGAGAATACTTAATCTATTTTTAAAAGAGCTGGCGTTCTGTTGGTGATAATATTGTAGACGCACAAATACAATGCCTACATTCTGCGTTCTTTCTGTGCATAGGATCGGTTACCCAAAGACTGCAAATTAGTTACCTAACGTTCCCTAAAGAACTAAGGAAGGTGATATAAATGTATATTTACATCATGCATGCTTTGGCAGCTACTATGGTTCTGACCGCAGTGAGAACGAGGTTGAAAACTGATCTGCAGAAATTCATGTCTTTCATTGACTTGCTCAGGAGCAGTGTATGTTATACGTAATAATGTCTTTCATTTGGATTCTCTTCTCAGCTGGAAAATCTTATGCTGGATAAAGATGGACACATAAAAATAACAGACTTTGGACTATGTAAAGAAGGCATCAAGGATGGAGCAACAATGAAGACTTTCTGTGGCACTCCAGAGTATCTTGCACCAGAGGTATGTTTATGTTGGCTGTTGTACTAAATTACCTTCTGAAACGCCATCCGTGATAGCAGTAGGAATACAGAATAATTCCCGTGCCATAATGTGTTCATACAGTAACTACTGTTCTATAACAATACATACTGAGAATTTTTTGTTCATCATGTTCTGGGACATATCTTTAGCATAATGATATGTGATAATTTTCAGGCAGGGTAGTATCTTCCTTCCACTTTAGGGAATATTTATATTTTACTGGAGCAATGCTTGCTTCCTGTGTCAGAAATGTAATTTAAAAAACCCCTTTTAAATCACTTCAAATACTACTTAATAGATTAGTGACTTTTGCAATTTGTTTGCTATGCATTGGCCTATTTGAAAGCTATCAACAGGACTTTGCTTAAGAAGTAAAAGTATCGTCCAGTTCTTTTACTCTTTGAAGATGGTATAAGGCAATGTGTTTTCAGAAACAGGACAGACCAAGCTTTTTCTGCAGTGTTTAGCATGGTATGCATTAAAAGTGCCGACTGTTTTATGACTGTAAAAGCACGAGATGTCTCTCAGTGTTAATTGGAACTTTTCAGTTTCAGAGGAAATAAATCCAAGCAGGGGATCTCAGTCCCCAAACTGTATGTTTTGGAGATTTTTTTGTACCTTTTTTTTTAAAGTGTAAAACGCAAATGTGTGCTTGCAACTTTCATTCTGGAAATACTCCTTCTGAGAGTTGTGCAACACAGATGGTGTTATAGCCGTAAGTTAGTTACGGGCAGATCAGAAGTGAAATTGTGTGATAGAGGATATATGTATACATGGTATTTTGCAGGCAGACGCTAGTTTTCTCTGCCCACGCTCTGAGCTGTCTGGAAGCAGACTCGCTGTATTAGCAGGGCACCAAGCCTGCGCTAACACGGTGTGCCTCACAGAAGGGCGCGTTGCCTTGCAGTGGGTGCTTTGCTACCCGTGGCGTTAAGGCTTCCATCCAGCTCGGAGCACAGGCAGAAGCAAGTCTTGGGCTGCCGGCAGATGATATATTGTTGGCACAGCCAGGATGTAGCCTTCCCCGAGATGGGAGGCTTGGGCATTGCAAACCTTTCTTGAGTTAAGTATGCAGAAGTACAAAGTATGGAAAACCAAAGTGGAGGAGGAATATTTCTACCGAGAGCTGATGTCTTTGCTGATCAGCGCTTTTGTGCTCTCTGCTTGCATAGCCGTGGCAGTGTGCTCTTGTTTTTTGTTTGTTTGTTTTGTTTTTCTGTTTTTTAAATCCCAGCTGCTTTCAAGGGCCTCCAGTGTCTTCATAATAATGAAGAACATGGGCACCTGTCAAAGTAGCTTGCAGCAAGGAGGTGGAGTCAGTCTCATGGTAGCTGCCAGCTCTCCATGGATCACCAGAAGTCTTCAGTGAATGTAAATTGGGGTCCATGCACCACAGTTTGAAATTTACTGATGCAGGGAGTAATTAGCAGCACGACAGAGTGTTTGTTATTCATAAACGTGGCTTTTATTTTAGCTTCCCTCTTAAAATCGATTGCTGAACTTCAGTTTCTCATCAAGGATTTTATGAGGACACTAAAAATATTGTTTTGGTTTTGTTTTTTCCTAACTTGGAATGTGGGGATTCCCTGTGTAGGTGTTATGTTGTCTTTCTGTTATATTATTTGCTATTATTTTTCTTTTTAATATTTATGATGAGTTGGCTCATCCAAAACCCTGAAGGACAAATCCTTTTGATTAACCCAGCTCTCTCCCTTACTTGCAAATCCCATCTGTGAGTTGGAGTGTTAAATTCTGGAGGCTTTTGTCATCTGGTCGATAGCATGCGAAAAATCTGGAAATTGTGCGCGAGTGATATTCCGTGCGTTTAAGGTCACACATCCTTAAAAGCAGGGGTCTCAATCTTCTTGTCTGCGTTTGTAACTTGAATCTGGCATAGCGGCATGTTTGTACAGTTGTTGCATCGTTGTTTTTAGGTTCATACTGGAATCTCGTGCATGGATGATAGTGACTGAACCATGTCAACTTTGATGTGTCAGATGTATCGATGGCTGTGATGTTTACAGGGGGTGAAGGAAGGAGTTCTAGTTAGTAATCTAGATTATAATACAGAGTATTACTATGGTTACTAAAGTAACATTTGAAGTATTTGCTGCATTTCGAAAGCACCTGTAGCATTTATTACGTACACAACAAAGGCCTCTGTGGTTTTGCTTTTCTTTCAGTCCTCTCCTATTGCATCTCTTGCAGCAGTTTAAAAAATAAAAATTGGAGGCCCCGTGACTGATTTATTTTAGGTAACCCAAGTGTAGAGGAGTGCGAACAGGAAGCGCTTATTGAACGGGGTGACTCAGAGAGCGGTAACTGCATTGTCACACAATCTCTCCTGCGAGCCGAAGGGCCGCGATGCCTCGGGAAGGACGGGGCCGGCTCCTGGAATCCTGTCCGGCTGGCAGCTGTGTCGGCCGTATACATATACAGGGCAGCTGCAGAGCCAGCTGTCGTTTGGTGTGAATCATACGGCAGGGGATGCTGTAAATAGACCAATGTGGGGTAATCTAATACCTGGCAGCCTTTTGATTTTTACTGCAGGCCCTTTCCCTCGTTCAGATAATTAAGGGGAATAATTAGTGAATAAAGAGAGGCAGAGTGCATACAGTTGTTACATGGAGTGTCTCGGTGCTTCTTTTCTGTGTGCAAAACCTTTATCAAGGTTTGTAAGAGTTTCAGGTCCTGCTTTTGTTAAACTTGAGTCAACTTCGTTTGGCTTTCACCGTTTTAATTTTGAGTGGTAAAGTATTCTGAACTGTAGCAACGTACAGCTCACACAGATACCACGCGACAAAACACGATGGTGGTGCGGTCGTGGTTTGTGCTCTTAGCTAGAGTAAGCAGTTCAGTGCAGACCCGTGAAAAGAGTAAAGATGGCAACTAAAATGTGAGGACAGGGTCTGGAACATGAGACTGTTAGTGTCAGCTACAGCCAACTGCGTAGGAGACACAAAGTCTAGAGAAGTCCTCGTAACATCCACTCCACAAGCCACAAAACACTCCCCGCTGCCTTCAGCAACCTTCAGTGCAGAAGATCAGAAATGCACTATGACGGGGCTTCTCCGGAGCAAGCAGGAGAGATGGAGGGCGCTGCTGGGGTCCCGAGTTCCTGCAGTAGCCAGGGCTTTGTTGGGTAGAAGTGCCCAGGAGAAGGGAAAAATGAACTGTGCTGGACTCCTTCTGCTGTGAGACCTGGCAGAAGTCCACCCCACTGACAATTCCTGGGTTTGTGGCCCTCTAAGGAGAGGCAGGATTGTTGGAGCTAGTGAGCAAGTGCCTTTGGAGGGGGGCAGAGGGGAGGAGAGGAAACATTTCCAGACAATTTGGCTGCCGTTTTACGGCCTTACAGCCGGTCAAATGTTAGGAGTGGAGTTTTGGCTCTTAGTTTTTAACGTAGATTAGTTATTTAGTATTTGTGGGTGGTCTTTCGGGATGTGCAGAGCCACCCTTCGGGGGGGTGCAGGTTGATATGAAGATGATGAGGATGTTTGGCTTGTCGCTTGTGAAGTAACAGGTTGACGGTCTTTTCTCTTCTCCCCATACTGGCTCCTTGGTGGTTTGGGGTTTTTCTAAAAAATTGGATCCCATTTGGAACAGTTTGTGATGAGTAAGTGAGAATTTAACAGCTGGCTCTGTAATGTGAGAACAGTTCTCAGCCTTTGGGCTTTCGAAGGTTGTGCTTATCATGACCATAATGTGAGGGAGGGTGGGAGGAAGAAGAGAAGGAAGCTGCTGTAATGTACCCACTGCCTCCTTTTCCCCCTCCTGCTCACCTAGCATGGTGAACATGGATGTCAGTTCTTTTCAAACGGATCTTCTGCAGATATTCTGCTGGTAGATTTGGCTGTGACGTGGGAAAAGATGAACTCGCTGGGGTGAATTTTGCCTCGAGTTCTGTGTTCATGCCTGATTTGGGAATGTCTTCTAAAGCCTTTTCCTTACATTTCTGCAGGTGCTGGAAGATAACGACTATGGTCGTGCAGTGGACTGGTGGGGTTTAGGAGTTGTGATGTATGAAATGATGTGTGGCCGGCTCCCGTTCTACAACCAGGACCACGAAAAGCTCTTTGAGCTCATCCTAATGGAGGAGATTAGATTTCCACGCACTTTGTCACCTGAAGCAAAATCTCTTTTGTCAGGTTTGCTGAAGAAAGATCCTAAGCAAAGGTGAGACTGTTGCTTCAGTTATGCTTCTAAGCACTGGTGCCCTCAGAAATACTGGAAAAAAATTCTGTTAAGACTTCACAAAGCAGTTAATAATTGTGCTATGCAGAGGCATGTCTATGAGAGGGAACTACCTTCAAGACAAGTGACTTAAAAGTGACTGTTTCTGTGTTGCCATATGAAAGGCCCATATTGCTATCATTGAAAAAAAAATTGAAAATGGTACTGCACAAAGGGCTGTTGAATGCACGCATGCCAGTGGTTTTTCTTTATTTAAAGTTGAGGAAGGTGTTTAAGACAAAATTGTAGTTTTGTTTTTAATCCATTCAAAATGATCATCCACCAAGATGCAGTGAGTGGATCTACTCATTTCAGTTTTAACTTTTGACATGAGCAAACTTTTGACACTGCAAACAGCAACATGAAGCAGCTTTGGTGATCAGAAGGCTGAACTTCAGAGTACGATGGCTGCCATTAATGCAAAACTGTAGCCTGGGACAAAGCAAGTTAACCTTGCCTTCAGTCCTAGTGAATACAGTGGCTGCTGTGGGTTATAAGCTGCTCTACACTGAATGCTTTCACCTTCTGTCCCAGTTCAGGCTGCTGTCTGTTTTCTGAATTTTTGGTTAAACCTGTGCCAGTGATTTAGCATCCTGCTTTGGACAGCAGGTGGTGGTGTTTGTACCATGTTTGTGGTGGATTTTATACCATGCTTAATCTACTTTTCCTATTTCCTCCTTTTGGTTTTTTTTTGCTATGCTATGTTATTTAAAAATAACACTTGATTTAAAAACAGAAAAAAACCAAAACAAACCCCCAAGCCCTTAATGCCTAACAAACAGAAAATAGAACAAGATCCAAAAAGGATGTTGACCTTCACACAAAGATAAACATCAGTCTAAAAACCTGCCATCTTGTCAACCCAGACATTTTTAAAACAAACAATATTGTGACTCTGCCCCTGATCTCCTGTGGTGAGCCTTCCACCATAAATGGGCCCCAAATAGGAAATCTTTCATGTGAGGTGCAAGCAGAGTACGCCGGTTTGCTTTCTGGTGTTTGTTTAGTCTGTGTGTGTGTGTGTGTGTTCACATAGCAGGAAAATGGTTTTTGCCGGTACATGGATACTTGTAGCAAGGATTTTTGTCATCACTGTAGGCTATTTCCATCACTGTTTTTGATGGAAAATCCTGTTGAGAGGCCTTGTCATGCAAACTCACAGTTTGTACTACTGGAGGATTCAACGTAGCGGGGACAAGGGGAAGCGGGAACGGCTGTAGTCAGGAACGTCACCAGCCTTGTGCTGGTGGCAACAGCGGCACACCCCTCCCGAACCCGGCGCCTGCAAGGGGACCTCCAGGAGAAGGTGTGTAAGTGATTAGCAGCCCCCCCAGGCACTGCGCTCTGCGAGCGTGGTTGCAGCCCCTGCCAACAGGATTTCTGTCCAGGAAAGCGCTGGGTTAAATACAGTTGTGACCCTCTTGTAGCTTATTCAGGTGGGGCCTTTCAATCACTGGAAACACAAGCAGCATCTGCTGTAATTTGTTCTTAAAGGAGCATCTCTGATGAACCAAAATGCAATTTGTTTACAAACAAAGAACACCCACTTGTTTCTAATTACAAGGTTTTCCCAATGCCAATAATTACTCCACAATATGCTCATTTTATACAAATAGCCACTTCTTCACATGTATCTTCTGCAGGCTTGGAACCAGCAATGCTCTGATCTGCTGGACAGATGAATTTTCATGCTGCTGATAGAAATAACTATAGACTAGACAAGCCTGCACACATGCCTGCAGCTTGCTAATTACACTGGTGCTTCCCAAGCTTTTTGGATTGTGGACCATTCTTAAATACTGGTTTCTCACCGGTCACCGTTCACCCAGCTTTTTAGCTGAAGCTGTGGTTCTGCAAATCCACTGTGCTTCGTGGCGTTTTGGGCAGAACAGAGAACTGAGCTGGAAGCACTAGGGGTAGAAGTCCTGAGTTTTGGCCTTGTAGCTTTATTTTCTTTTTACTGTGTGGTCTGTGTGCTGGGGTGGGCGCCTGGGATACTTGGTAGTTGACTCATAGTGACTTCATGGAGCCATATTGAAGAAAAACAGCCAGATAGCTGTGAAAATACATTCAGTGAAAAGTTAAATAACATGCAATAGTCTGGTTGACATTAGCCTGTTGATGATGCTTTGGGGAACCACTATATAATTCAACAGAAATCCCCTCTTCCACAAAGCCCAGTGGTGGACAGAAGTTGGTGTCATTGTAATGTTGTCTGTGGCAGAAAACATCAGAATTGGCAGCATTTAGTAACTGCTGATGAACTTCAGAGTGGGATGGAGGAGACAGCCAAAACCATGAGAAAAATGAAACTGGGAGATGTTATCCTTTCCTGTAAAATCCTCAAAAAAACCCTAACAACAAAAAAGGTTGATATAATGAAGCTCAGTGATGAGGATATTTTAAGTTAAATATCAAGGAGCTAGGGAATTGTGACCTCCATCAGTGAATTAAATCTTAAAAATTACCTGTTGTACCTGAGCTGGATATATAGAAGCAGTCTTAGCACTCTGCGTTCAGTAATACCAGTTCAGTCTCAAACTTAGAGGCATATGGGGAAAATGTGAAGAACAATGAATTGCATTCTGCTTTTAATCATGGCTGTTTTCTAAATTTGGTCATATAAAATCCATTTTGTAAGAGAAAAGGAATTTTGAAGTTTCTTTTGGGATTGATATAAGTTTATTAATCTTGTAATGTGAGCCCTAATTTTCCTAAGAAGGAAAAAAATCTGTTCTGTAAATATTTCCTTTTAATGTGACCTGAAATTCTCCTTTGCTGCTTTGTGACGTGTATCAAATGGAAGGAGGTAATCAGAGCATTTTTTTCACACAAACAGCAAAGTTTTTAACTTCCATTATTCTTTCTCTGGCTGTGGAGACTGCAGCCTGTGAAAGTGGGCATGGATGAGAGCACTCCATGTAAAACGGGCTGAGTTTAGACAGGTGAGTGGGTTTGTAATCAGCAGAGTGTCTCGCAAGCTCTAAATCTTGGTAGGTTTTAAACTTGAGAGAACTTCAGGATAGTTTCCTCTGAATTTTGATCATGTATTTTCACTACATTCCTTAGTGCTCGCTGTCATAGGTCAGGGTTGTTTCAGCCTCTTTCAGATGGGGTTTGTCACAAGCTGCTTTATCTGCTTCTGTCTTCTGTGGTGCTGTTGGACCTTGCCATTCAGGAAGAACGAGAGGAAGAAGATGTAGCATTTCACAAATGCCTGTTAAAAGATTTAATGGCTTCACAGAGTTGTAGTTGTGGCTTTGGAGCACTGAAGCTGGTCGCTGGGAACTGATGATCAGTCCTTGGAGCCACACAGAGATCTGGCACTTTGTTCTTTCTAGTGATGGTGGTTCTTTCCACATCCAGAGTGCAACTTTGGCTGCAGATGCTGAGGAAGATCAGAGTCAATCAAGCCTTTACTTGTATGAAAACCAAACTCCTTGTTTTTTTTTCCCTTGTGAAAGGCAGTGATTTGTAGTCAAGGTGCATGTCTGGGTGCTCTGCTGTGGGAAGGGTAGATGGCTTGAGCAAACTCGCTCTCAGACACAGCTAGGTCTGCAGCCCACCCAGCAGCTGCTGGAGTTGGAAGAGGTAGAGGTGACAGTCATGGGGACCACAGGGGCCTGGAGGTGGTCCCAGTTAGCTGGTGGCAGGCAGGAGGAGGTAACCTTGAATAGCTGTTCCTCTTAGGCAGCAGAGTTCATGCCTTGTGGGCATCCGGAGTTTTGAAACCACGCATGACAAGTGTCTTGTGTTTGCTCTGAAATGTGTGTGTCTTGAGTACAAAAGTGTTTCTAGCTACAGACAACTCCGGTGTCCTGGGTATCACTTGAAATGCAGAGTGCTTGTCAAGTCTTCATGCATGTTTCACCAGGTGCTTTGAGGTAGACGGAGATTTAGCTGTTGTGTGTTTAATTTTAGTCTAAATCGGTTCAGTCCAAAGCTATTCAGAATGAGTTTGGACAAACTTCAAACGGTTCACCCATAAGAAATGTAAATTGAAGCTGAGGAAAACATAAAAGGCAAATTCAAAGAGATTTTTATTCCCAGCTTTCGAGAAATCGGTAGTTTAGAGACTTCCCAAGCCTCGGCATCCTCAAACGCAACTCCTTTGGGATTACTAATGTTGGGGGGTGGGAGCTTTTCCAGTGTTACTGGAACCACTACGTTTGTGTCACACACATGTGGTTAATGAAGAAGTGGGGAAGTAAAGCTCAGCACAGAGCTAGGAATTGCATTAGGCTTTCCAAGTGTCTTAATCTCTGAGCAGGAAAGCCCCCAAAGACTGTGTGCACAGGGCTTTGGGAAGAATATGGCCTTTTCCTTCCAAACTGGAGTCATCAAATTGTGCTGTTCCCAAAGCCACCCAGAGCTTCTCTGCTGCTAGTGCCGGTCACAGGAAAGTAATGTAGGTGCAGTTCCTAAATCCTTCCCGGTGGCTATTAGAGACCCCTGAAGGTAAGGGCTATAGTAAAAGAAGTTACTAGTCTCTGTCCTGACTGTATCAGAGAAGGAGAAATAGGAATCTGTGTGCTCTGAGCTGGTGAACACCAATAGCTTTTGCTGAGCTCATTTTTTTGAGCCTGGTGGCAGTATTGTAGAACCAGGTTTGGGGGCGGGGGGGAGTCAGAGAAATCATGTGAAGACAGAACGGCAACAGAAATGGTGCCTAAAACTGTGGCTGTCTTCTCAGATGAGGATGGTGCACGTGCAAATCTGTACACAACAGATATCCGTCACCTAAAAGTATGACAGTCAGTCCCTTCAGATGAGGATTCGCCCACAGAATCTGTGTTGTGGCTCCTGCTGTGGTGAAGCACGAGCTTATGAATGGGATTATTTGGCAGGGCAGAGTGAAGGCGGTTGCTACCCGCCTTCCTGTGTCGGAGCCTGGCTGTCCTTACTGTAGAAACTTTCTGACTATAAAACTAGAAGTTTGTGGGTTTCTTCTTAAAGAGCTAGGAACGGACCTAGGTGCTGAGCACTGTTTCCTTTTACATGGACAAGTAGAGAAACAGTACTTCTCCTGTGATCCACTAATTGCAATTTTCTGGTCTGTGATAGTAGTACTTTCACTGTTGACTGCGTGTTTATACACTATATATTCTTTTGTGTATATATATTTATATACACAAAAATTACAGTACACACATTTTAAAAACGTGTTTACATTTCCATATGATTTCTCTGTGGAATGGTAGCTGATTGCCCTTGACTCGTGGAGCACAGACATTTGTCACTCAATGATTAAAGGAACTTGCAAGCAATACACAGTTTCATAAAAATTAAAAATGTGGAAGTGGTTTCAGTTTAATATTGACGTTGGACTTTATTAATAATTTTCTCCCAGGGATTTAGCTGAAACATAGGAACAAAAGCTCTCAAATACAGATGGAAGTTAAATGAATAACCAGAATTGTTTGGCAGGTATTTTTTAAAGACCAGTTTAGACAGAAGTTTGGGTTTCGAGGTTTTTTTGTTTTTGTTTTTTTTTTAATGGCTTTTTGGCCTCTGTGCTTTCTGTTGTATTTCCTTGTATACTGTCAATCTTAGTGGCTTTTTCTTTTTAAGTCCTATTTATACTATTTTTGGTTCTGTCTGAAGACTTAAATGCACAGAATTTAACTTTGTTTTACAAGGATGTTTCCAAGACTTTTATTCCTGCTATGTTTTTCTTCAGTCGTTGCATGTCCTTACGAAAGACAAACCTGCTGCTCTTTCAGGTCTTAGTGGTGCTTAACCATGATTTTTGCATTAGGTGCTGATTTAATTTTGTTCTCGTTGAGAGGGTCCTTTCGTAATAATTCTGAAAAACAAGAGTGTATTTTGGAATAAGCCCATATCCAAAATATGAGGTTTCTATCGTTTCCTCATTCACTTTGAATGGATTTGTTTAATAGTATAGATTTTTAAAAGCTAAGTAAAACATCAGGGGCTTTCCTTGGCATTTCCCTGGGTATGTATTTGCCCTTCATGGAACAAAGGCTCGTATTAGATAACGTGTTCTCCAAAGCGCTCGGACATGGCTGCAGCCAGCCAGCCTTCCCGCATGCTTCTGCAAAACATGCATCAGGTTCGTCTAGCTTATAGTCACTCCTGAACTTCTGTGCAGAAGTGCAGTCTGTTGACATCTGTGGATAAAGAGGATCGACTCCACCCTCTTCTTCACCACCCATCATCATCTGCGCTGGGGAAGCAACGAGGAGCCTGGTAGAGACTTGACAAAGTCTCTAGACCTGTGGGGAACCAGCCGAGAGATGAGTACTCACAGAGTTTGTCTCTGTTCCAGGCTACTCTGCAGCTGTATAATGTGCTGCCAGACAGATGGGAGAGCCATCATCCGGCTTGGTTTGGCCTGTGGGGCTCTAGGATGAACTTAGACTCGGTCTTTTAGCTTACCTGGGAAAGGAGAGCATCACCCAACACTTTGTGACTCGAAGACTGGGGATCCGTTCCCTGTTCCGCTGCACGTTTCATGAAGGAATGTGAAGGAGCAAACCTCTTAGGTTGCTGTGCTGCTAAATGAATGAGGGCTGGGAAGCAAGCGTGGACTCTGAACTGCCAGGCACCTCTGCTGCTTGGTCTCTCCGGTACAGCTTGCGCTCCCTGAAGACAGTGCTCGGGCATGGCTGAGAGGGCTGCATGCACCAGGATCCATTCCCAGTCGGCAGTAGGGACAAAGTGTCACCGTATTTGACTCCTCCTTGCTAAACAACCGTCTAACGCTGTCCCAGTAGCATTTTGCCTTCAAACTATGTCCTGGAGCATGCAGTACAGTCTCAAGCTGTCAAAATACCACTTCAATGGGCTGTAGCACAGCCTTCACATTCATTATCTATGCATTATCTTTGCATTATCTACGTTATTGCAACACTACAGGCTTGGGGAATAGTGGCTGGAGAGCTGCCTGGCAGAAGAGGACCTGGGGGTGTTGGTTGACAGCTGCCTGAACATGAGCCAGCAGCGTGCTCAAGTGGCCAAGAAGGCCAGTGGCATCCTGGCTTGTATCAGGAGTAGTGTGGCCAGCAGGACCAGGGAGGCGATAGTGCCCCTGTACTCGGCATTGGTGAGGCCGCACCTCGAGTGCTGTGTTCAGTTTTGGGCCCCTCACTCCAAGAAGGACATCGAGGTGCTGGAGCGTGTCCAGAGAAGGGCAACGAAGTTGGTGAAGGGTCTAGAGCACAAGTCTTATGAGGAGAGGCTGAGGGAGCTGGCGTTGTTTAGTCTGGAGAAGAGGAGGCCGAGGGGAGACCTTATTGCTCTGTACAACTACCTGAAAGGAGGTTGTAGTGAGGTGGGGGTTGGTCTCTTCTCCCAAGTAACAAGCAATAGGATGAGAGGAAACGGCCTTGAGCTGCGCCAGGGGAAGTTTAGGTTGGACATTAGGAAAAACTTCTTCACCGAAAGGGCAGTCAGGCCCTGGAACAGGCTGCCCAGGGAAGTGGTTGATTCTTCATCCCTGGAGGTATTTAAAAGAAGGGTAGATGTGGTGCTTGAGGACATGGTTTAGTGGTGGACTTGGTAGTGCTAGGTTAACAGTTGGACTCAATGATCTTGAGGGTCTTTTCCAACCTTAATGATTCTATGATTCTATGATATTCTGAACTGAAACCCTTCCCTCCACCCCCGAATAATCATGTATTAGGGCCGCAGGGTTACCACATGGGGCCTGGAGGAGATTCAGGGCCAACTGCTGTGCAGCAAGGATGAGGCCTGGCCAGGCAGCTGGGCTTCAGGTTCAAAGAACAGCCCTTAGCCCGTTTCTCTGTAGCGGTATAGCTCAAGCCTTGGTCATGTAGAGCTGTTGTTCCAAGCTCTTAAAATAGGGATAATATCTCAGTTTGCCAGTGGGACCAAGAATTAGAAAACAGGCAGATGCTAGAGGTCAGCCTGGATGAGCATGGTGACACCTCTTGTACTTAGAATCCTGAGAGTTGTCTTAACCTTGTTACCTGAAAGTAAGTCTCCTGCTGATTACTCAGTTTGTGTTTTTGTTTTCTCAGTGCATGCCTTTGCTTGCAGATGTGGTTCAATCTTTTAGAGAACATTTTAACCTCCACAGCAAAATTTAAGCATCTGTTAGCACAAGACTGCAACTAAACTGATTGCATCTATAAGCTGTGTGGACAGTTTTATTTTGGAATAAAAGTGCTTTATCTTGATATACCTTAAGTCAATAAAACACCTTTTGTGCTTTCGTGAAGCCAAGGAGGAGGAAGGTTTAGCATACAACGCGATATTATCGCTGCAGTTGTCAACTGTTTTCTTTAATGGAAATTTAAATCGGGTTGCATGAATCCGTTTGTCTTAAAAATCCTTGCCTCTCTTACACTTCAAAATCAGATTCAGTTTTACTGATGGCATCACTCTGCTCTAGAAAATCGGAAGGGGTAGTCACTTGTTAATGTAGAAAGAGAGAAGGGTGTGTGGCTCAGACCTTTTACTTGTTGGATCTGCTGTGGTCCCTAGACAGCATCTTTCCTGAAGGGTGGGTCTTTTGAATAGTGATTATTATTTTTTTTCTTTGTTTGTTTGTTTAAGAGACACCTTTATTCTAATTCTATTTGTTAGCATGTTTTCAAATCTTTTAGTGGAACTGTGTTGAAGCCTAAAATAGACTATCCTGCAGCCCTTGCACAAAAAACAAACATGAATGCAAATGCTAGAACTGCTCCCAGATGTATTATATAAACTCAGAACTTCTTTACTACTGTTTAATAAGTATAAGAAAAATAACTGTACTCAAACATTTAATTACTTATTTTGCCCCAAACAGGTTAGGTGGTGGTCCTGATGATGCCAAGGAGATCATGCAGCACAAATTCTTCGCTGGCATTGTTTGGCAAGATGTATACGAGAAAAAGGTACTTTTACAACTGTTCTCCCAAGGTGAATTGTAGCTGTGGATACACTGTTTCAAATTTGGTTGCCCTCTGTAAGGTACACAGAAGCCCTCCATGGAAGAGGTTTGCAATTGTTCTTAATGAGGCTAAATTGCTTCATGTTTCTTAACATACTGTAATCCGATTACATTCTAAACCAAAGCTTTTTTTCCGCAATGAGAGGACTATGTCTCAATGAGATACTTGTTTCTGTGACTGAATAAGTAGGATGTAACCAAAATTGCTTCCAAATTTAGACAGTATATAAGCTTTTAAAATGGCTTTTCCTGTGAATTCTTGTTGCCGTTTCTTGCTATCAACTGATTTATCCCTCGTGAGCCCAGGAGTTAGTGTTGGTTCCTCAGCATTGGGAAGCAAAACTTCCTAGAAGCAGTAGTGGAAGATGGGCTGTTTGTTCCCTTTGCGTTTTTCCTGTCTTGAATGATGAAATTAGACTGAATAGGCAAGTGCAGAGAAGTGTAGACTTTGACATCAATCCAAACCTAATATTTTTTCTCTCGGTGACAGATGGCTGATGTGAAGTGTCTGCATTTCATGCTGTTCCTCATTGGTTTTCCTTGAGACCCAGAGTTTGTAGGCTTTCCAGTGGGAGCCACTGAAGTCAAAGAGCCCAGCCCTTTCCGTAGGAGTGTGTTTCATCAGTTGTCTGTGCCTCACTGTCCCTTCGTTCCCAGATAACTTATTCCACTCCTCCAAGATGCCCTGCTTCATGCTCTCAGGGCGATCTGCTGTTGTCCTCTCCCATTTGATTCTCACCAGCCATGTTTTCCGTAACGCTCACGTGAAATGCAGCTAACTAAAACGCGGGTCTGGTGATTCAAGGCTCCCATCTACTGGTGCCATGCGATCTCACTCAATCCCAGCCTTTCCCGATTTCCTGCTTTCCCCCTGCAGCCCCTCATGATATCAGATCTCATTTGATTTCTAAATACAGTTTAGTTCTCCCTCCAGTTGGTGGGAGGTAATAAACTTAGCAGAAACTGAGTTTTAATTCTTTGGATTCTTTCAGTAAAACTAATACAGTGATCTGTTAGCAATGATTGTATTCTTAAAAAAAAAAAAAGTGTTAACACTGCTGGTTTCCATACTGCAGCAGGAGAATTGTCCAGTGCTTGTATACAATTACAAAGAGAGCTCTGTTTCCTTCTCTTCTTTCACTTCCTCACAGATTAGTGTGGCTAAAGGGAACTGAAAAATCATAAAATAAGTTTTTGTGCCTTGAAAGTGTAGATAAGAGTTTAGACCTCTCCTTTCAAAGCATCCCTTGAGAGCGAACTGCGTGCGGTCATGAGGGCAGGAGGGAGTTGCATGGTTTATTCAGTATAATGTAAAAAGTATATTTGAATTACTGTTCTAAACAGGAGTTATCCTCATTTTCACCCAGCTGACAAGCTGAATACTTGGGCTTTTGCTGGTTTTTTGCAGTTTAAGGTAAAAAGTTGATAACGGGGCTCAAATGTCTTCAGTGAGGTTATTTGTTCTTTGATGGTATTCCTGCTTCCCTGAATGGAGAAGAAATCGCACAATCTGGAGGCAATTTATTTATCCGTAGGACTGAGAAAGCCTACGTAAATTGTCCCATAGTAGTACTGACTCAGATTGTTGTGGAAACTACCAGGAAATTCACACATTTTGGAGACAACAGCGTGCTAACCGAGACTATTTCTGACCTTGGCATATCCAAGGAGGCTGGATTCTGGTTTTGCTCCTGTCCCGTTAGCATGTGCATCTGAAATTGAATGTAAACCATTACCTACTGTAGAAATAGCCATGCTGTGCAAATGAAGAGATTTCAAAAAGCCTGTGAGTAATTGCTGCCTGCGTTCTGGGTGGTCCAAACAGAATCTTGCAGCATTTACCTGAAATGCAGTCTCACGGATAAAAGCTGAATTTTGTCAGCTGCCTAGAGGTGTTTATGTGCTAAGCTTGGTTACCCACTATCTCCAGATAATGGTGAATATGTTTATGAATATAGGCTTGGGGTAATCGAGAACACTTACTTTGTAATTAAGTTTTTTGGAAACGTAGTTTTGCTATGAATTATAAGGAGTTTTGAATAACTGGGGTTGTCCCAAGAATATAAAATATTCATTAGACTCTTCTGAGGGAGTGTCGTTATTTGTCGCTGGTGCAAAGAAAGGTGGGATTTAATTTGCAGTATTTTGCCCACCCAGAAGCGAAACACGCAATGAGATTTTAATCATATGGGGTTTTTTTTCTGGTCTTTTCTGTCTCTTAAACCTGCCTGTCTCTTAAGCCTGCGGGTGTCATGCTGGTCTGCAGCAGTGGGAAGCTACAGGTGGCACCTCTCTGCCAGCGGAACTGCAGAGCTATTGCAGTGACAGCTTTTCAGTAAAGCAACATATTTGCTTGGTAAAGCCAGCGTTAGAGCTTTCTGCGGCTTCCCCTCTGTTTCCAGCTTAATGTTCTGAATTTGACAGCTAGGAAGAAAAAAATTGTCTTGTGGGTGCATCATAATCTGTCTCAAATTGCTTTTAACAGATACTAAAATAAAAGGGAAAATGATCCAGGCAGCGCTAGCCCATTACACATGTGTTCTGACTTAGGATTGCTGCTCCGAGTCATTCTGCTGTGCATAGTTCAGGTGTCTGCTGCAGTGCCCAAGTCCTAAATCACTCTGTGCTGTGCACAGCAAGCTAGAGCAACTGGGAGCACCGCGAGTGCCAAAACCACCATTAGCTTAAAAGGACAGCTAGAACTTCACACACACACGCACGCACGGCTTGGCAAAAACAGACCAAGGTTCGCTTTAAGGAGACGGAGAATAGAGTTAAAATGTGAAAGAAAGAATGCTCATCCTCAGCAGGGTTTTTATACATAATCTGCTGGTTTGATTCGATTGCGAATAGCGTTATTAACATTATAATGCCAAGCATTCCCTCTTCAGTAGCTTCGGGAGGACTCAGAGTGACTCCTGGCTTTGGGATATCCTGTTTCCTCTTCCTTTTTAAATTCAGGACATAAAGACCACTTCTAAGGACCTAATTTTTTTCACAGGAACATTTGCCAGGCTCCTTTAAGTCATCCTTGGGCACGGAGGATCATTAATAATTCAAAAAAAAGATGATGAATAGATACTGTAATTGTGCTCTCTTAAAATAAACAGAATTTTTATGTCCCTTAATTTTTAAAGATTGGTTTTAAACGGTAGAATGTTTCTTTGTATTTGGAAATATCACCTTATGTGTAGATTACACTGCTTAAAAAGTCTTTACATTGAAAATGAAGGACGTCATTGGATTGTTGTTTGTAAGACAGGACAATGCTCTGTTAGGTGCTCTCAAAACAGATCAAAAAGATGATCCTGGTGATAGGGAGCTTGAAGGTAGTGCTTTTCTTATTCACCAACTTGCCAAGCAAATGATCCTTCAGATCTAAGCCCGAGGAAAAGTTAGGGGTGGGGAAGACGGGCTTTCTTTGTACACGCAAGATTTGCTGATGTTTTCCAGGTAGTGATTTCTGTCAGTGGTGTTCTTATTTCTGTAAGAGCAGAAGTGCAGGTCTCGGGGTCACTGCCTAATTCCAGCTGGAGCAATTTACCATTTGCCTTCATAAACCTTTCCCTGCAGTTTCAGATTGGAAGCCGTATACTTCCTCTATCACGCTTCTAAATTGTTGCCTGGTGTGGCTCTGTGCTATTAAAAGATGGCCATGCTTAACCCCAGTGGTGGGCGAACTGAAGCCCAGCGCCCAGAGCTATTACATGTCCTCTGTGGGAGGGCTAAGAACAGTGTTTACATTCTGTTTCTACCGCATCGTGCAGCACGGAGGTGAGCAAGGTCTGAATCCCAGCTCCGTTGCCCTCCAAAATTGTACGTGTTCCAACTCTGTGCATCTGTATGCAACCAGCTCCGCCGCCCCGCTTCCCAGGCGCGCTCCTCCTCCAGCCCCAGTCAAGCAGCTCCGCTCCATCTGGAGTTCCCCTTGCCAGCGCTTGCCTAGGTACACATGGATGATTTCTAGCCTGTCTGCCCAAGCGAGTGTCAAGAATAAAACCCAAATAGTGCAACTCGTGGTGTAATAAGAGGAGAATGTTCACCACTAAGCGTGCTGTATTTTTTGTAAGCACTCCAGATTTTTTAAGTTCAGAGTTGATATCAAACTGCTTTTGGAGACTGGGAGTATAAATGCTTAACGTTGCTGCTGCCGTATCCTAAATTCTCCCGGGTTGGTCCGACCTACGGCACGGTTGCAGTCAGAGCTGCATGGGCACAGTAGCTCTGTAGCTGAAATTTTTTTGTGAATATTACAAACCTCGTGGTGATACGCAAGGCTAGCTGATCAGTTTGGTATCACTGAGCATCTTGCTTATTCATTTTCATCCTCCTCAAGCATGAATCTGACTAGATGCAGTTGACAATTTCCATATAATTAGGTGGGGAACCAGTGTATACTATGATTTTTAAACATTTGTAAGCATGTTATTTATTACTTGAAGAAATGTTAGGATTCTAGGTTTTTCTTCGTGCAATTAAATCCTAGAGACAAAATGCCTTAAATGTACCATGAATAGGAAGTGCACACCTAAATAAATACTTTTTACTGTATATGGTTCCTTCTTTATGAGCTGGTGTTTTTTAAACTTATTATAGGAATGTAGGAAAAGGCACTGTAGCTTATAACTCTTTCAAATTCTACCTGTTTCAAACAGTACTGCAAGAACCTGTAAACGGACAGTATTTTTTTTTTTCTCGCTTTTCATAGCTTGTACCTCCGTTTAAGCCACAAGTTACATCTGAAACAGATACAAGATACTTTGATGAAGAATTTACAGCACAGATGATAACAATCACTCCTCCTGACCAAGGTAAAGTTTTCCTAAATGTTGCCCACTATGTTCTCCAGACGACCAGAAATAATTTGCTGTAATTACGTGGTGTCTTTAGACCATGTGAAAAAGCATCAGTTTAAACTTGCGTGTGTTCCATACGTATATTTGACCAAGAAGCTGGTAAACTGATGTGAAACTTTCCAGTTTGGGAGAGGAAAAACCTGTTTTAGTGAAATTATTTGTACTGTTTTCTTTTCCAAATCTGCGTGTTCCCACTGGAAAATACTTCTGTTCAGGAGTTTTGCGTGTGTACATCTGCACACACACTGTGTAAATGCAAGCAATCAATTGAGTATGGACTAACGTCCATATTCAATCAAAATATATTTTATTTTCATGCTAACTGAGCATGTTTGATGCTCTGAAATAGCAATTGCCAGAAATTCAGAACACTGCGTATGGATTTAAGCAATGCAGCTCCTAGCAATTTTAAATGGACAGCCGAGCAACTGTTGACATACAGCAATCAGGACCTTCTGTGATGCCCATTTAATGGGCTGCGATGTAAGCCTTCCTGTTTCTTTGTCCTTTCAAGTTGTGGAAGAAGAAGGCAACAGTGAAATTTTCTGGAATAACTTTGCTGTGCATTATCTTACTGTTTGTTTACTTAAAAAGGTAGCAAATGTTGTCTACTGATTTTTTTCATTTTTCAGATGACAGCATGGATTGTGTAGATAACGAGAGAAGACCTCATTTTCCTCAGTTCTCCTATTCAGCCAGTGGAACCGCTTAATGTTTTGCAATGTTTGCCCATTCAGAAACAAAACAGACTGCATTTTGGGGACCTTACTTCAATGGACACTAGAGAACTTTCTATATTATCTGAATTACAAACTGTGTTTGTATTACAATTTAGATGAATTTGTAGGAAGCCTCACAGATTCTGTATTTAAAATAATTCTTTGATGCATTTTTGAGAAGGAAAACAAATCCATTCTTAAAGTATTACGTCAAGGCTTTTATGCTGAATGACCATAGGTTTTTAAGAACATACACCAAAACTGTTTACTTTAGAAATAATTAAGGTATTCAACATATCAGCAACTCTGACCAGAAAATACCCTTATTTTATTTATTTCATACAGTTCATTATCTAAATATAGAATCTGCACTCTGAACAATTAGATTTGTATAGGAAGATATAAGACTTTAGTAGCTAGTGCAATAATATAAGCAACAAAGTGAACAAACTCTGGAGGGTTAAGGTTCAAACTCATTTTGGACAGCAGTGAAGTGTCATCCAACTCCAGAAAACCAACTATAGGAACAGCATTAATGGCCTCAGTGAGGTAAATCAAAAAGCAAGAGTTATTTTTGTTATAACATCTGCTACAAGACATTACATATCAAACTGAATCCAGTGGAATTGCCATGTCATACAGATGAGTATTCCGTTCTAGACAGTGCATTTAATTATTCCATTTGCATAGGGTTTAGGAATACTTCATAGGATTGGCTTCTCAGAATCTAGAAAACGCTTGATTTACCAATCTGATATGAAATGCAACAACGCAAAATCACCCACTTTCACCACTGTATAAAAATACCATACAGGTCTAAGTGAGAAATCATCTTAATGAGTGAGTCAACCAGACAAAAGTACATTTTGGCACTGAAGTAATGACTTGTTGCCGCTTTTTTTTATGAAAAGATATATGAATATGTATAAACACTTAATAATTTTTTGCATCATGCCAGATCATTTCTTCTTTCTTGAGTGTGCATTAAAGGTATCAGCCAACAGTTCATGGTGCCTTCTCACTCTTGAAGATTCACTTTAACAGTGTTTCCCATGTATAAGAGAAAAACTAGGTTGAAACTTCATATGTGTTTGAGTAATAATGGTGTTCAAAAAGTGAATTTTTTTTTGTTTGTTTTTCATTTTTAATCTTAGTGGAAAATTCCCCACACCCTATTTTTGTTGTATCATGTTTCTTTGTAATTTTCATAAAAGCAGTCTTATTCTGTCTCTGCTGCGAATGAATTTATTCCGTTGTAGGTTGTGTTCTCTTAAATTGCCTTTTTTTTGTTTTTCATTCTTTTGACTGTATAAAAATGATGACATGTACTGCAGTTAACTAGCATTTAATTTTTTTTATTTGAAAGGGAGTATATTATGAAAACCCTCGCTTCCCCTTTCCATCAGAAACTGCTGTGTTTGCACAGAGAGCCCATCACCCTGACTTTTTTTTTAACAACGTTCAACTCTAGTATTTTTACTCATGATATGAAAGTTTCCCTCCAAATACTTAAATAAAAATTGCTTTAACAAGTTAGGTTCTTATTTCTTGTGGTTGGAGCCTTCTGAATTTGTAGAGATGGCAACAACTGCTCCAGTTTCTTGAGTCTGATGTGCACATCACTGAGGGATTTAGGCTTTTCTCCCCCTCCTCAGTTGTTTCATCTCTGTGCTGATCACTATGCAAAGATAATTTTGGAAAACGTTAGTTAAAGGAAATACGCCCTGCGCCAGATATTGTTTGTCTTGAGGTGAATGAGGACAGGCCTCATTTTGCTGTTCTCCTGATGCCCGTGCGATTGTGTTACTGAGGCCCTCATCTTCAAAGGTATTTCTATTCCAGTCACTCGGGCCAGCGTACGATATATAATACTGCGTTTCCTTTCTAGGAACTAATATTAATCGTTTCTAGGAGGTAGTTACACAAGGCTGGAATGTCCTTTTTCAAACAAGAATACAGAGGAAAATAGAAGAACATCCAAGAACAACTGCAGTGTGCTTCTAACTAAGCACAGAAGTTGCAACTGTAGTAAGCCATTAAACATCCAAAACGCTTTTTGGTTCAAGGAATATAATTCCCAGTAGACTTTACTGCACATTTTATGCAAGGAGGGAAAGTGAAAGGAGGGATCTGTGTCTCTGTAGTGGATACCTTGCACTGATGCTGGACAGCCTCTCCCCTTCTGCCAGTCTGATCTCCTGGCTGCTCTCCTTTGCTTCCAAGCCTTCAGCTGAGTTTGCAGCCAGCCCGGGGACAAAGTCCAAAGAACTCTTCTGCAAGTCTACAAGCCCCGACAAGTTCTGAACTAACACACTTCGTGCATCCAAATATAGGCAACACGGATGAACAAAGGTCACCATCATCTGGCCCAGGAAAATCTGGTCTTCCAAGTGCAGGAGCAGACACGGATCGGGTTGTTCTGTTGAGGCTCAGTATTTTTCTGCCAGTTGTTGCTAAAGGATTTTTGTTTTAATTCCTGTATATAAAACAGAACTTAAAAAAAAAAAAAAAGCTGCCAAAAAAGTCTGGGAATCTTAGTATTGTTAGGGACAGTGAGCTGTGAGGGCCACACCTGAATGCAGGGTCTTCTGGATATTTTCCCTCATTTTGCCTGTGATTATTCAAAACGCCTTGCCTGTCATCTATAATTGAACGATTACCAGCATTACAGCTGTCTGCCTGCAAACGTAAAGCGTGTTCTTCAAATTCAGGTTTAGCGCAGAGGAGCAGTAGCATATCCATC